CAGGAGCGGGGCAGGGGCAGGGGTAGAGGGAAGGGTAGGGGCAGGGGTAGCATCGGGGCAGGACTATGTGAAGTTTCAGGGGTGGGGTCAGGGGCAGGGGCAGAGGTAGAGAGAGGGGCAGAACCAGAGGTCAGGTCAAGGACAGGGTCAGGAGTAGGGTCATCCAGGGCTCTCTCGCCCTGTGACTTCCTGAGCGCTTTGCACTGACAATGCCCTCCTGGACGTCCGGTCAGCTGCTGTGGCACCTGCAGCACATCAAAGTGTGAAAGCGTGCGAGGAGCCTGTCTGCACATCCTCGCCCATATCCCACGAGAATCCAGGACACGGCACTGCCGTCAGAGTGCACGCCTGTTCTGTTACACACCTGGATGGCAGGACACTCTGTAACCATGCGGTCTGTGCTGCCTGGCTGCCCACAGCAGGCCTAAGGAGGTACTGGGACTAGAAACTCCACAAGCTTTCACAGCCAAGACGGAAATCAATACAATGGCAGTGCGGTGCACGTCTGTATTTGAAGACTTAGAGCAGTGACTGGAAAAAGAAGGGCATCCAGGCAGTGCCAGCCAGGGGCACTTGTCCTGGAGCACACAGGATATTGACAACTGCAGACAGGTCGTACTGTGATACACCGAGAAGAGGACATCGGTAAGCCAGCCAGAGCTTGGCTAGGAATAGAACTGCTACTGTATAACAGCACAGGGTCTCAACACATGTTCACAAACAAAACAGCCCACACTCTCTGTCTCCTTCACACAGGGAGTGAGGCTTTGTTTTGTTTAGAGAAGAAGTACATCATTTGCAGTTGTTGCAGTGTTATTTATACATTGCTTAGTTTTTATCCTGTTAGTTTTAAATTAATAACCACATACATAGTTATTACTTGTGCCAAACCTTAATGGAAGAAAAGCTCTTATATTATATACATTTAGGGGAGAACCTGTGATATTTTTTTCTTAATTTAATATATAATATAAAAGTAATTACCTCCACCCACCTGAGCAATGCTCTCTTTATGATCACCTATCGCCAACAAATTAAATATTGCAGACTGCTGCTGCAACGTACTTGAGGACAACCAGAGAGGGCAAACACAATTGAAACAGGACGGAGAAACAAGGAGCATGAAATGTATCTGCTCCCAGTCTCTCAGGGTTTCTACTCACAAGGCAGAGGAGCTTGGTGGAAGACTCCACTTCACTGAGAGTCACACATACTGGACATCCCAAACTTTAAGAAACCAAGACGATCCATCCTAATGCATTTTGTAATTTTACATACGGGCAGTTTCCAAATAGCAGCAGTTCTGAAATGTGACATTTAGAGTTGAATTGATTATACCTGTTGCAGGAAAAAAAAAACAGAGCAAACTCCTCAGACAGACAGTAATACTAAACACTAATTTCAAAATGCAGCTAATGCATTAACTGTAGAACCCTGTTATTATCTGTCAGTGGAAAGGAGCCACCAACTGCTTACCGTCGAGAGGAGCTGGAATAACTCGGCGGTGTTTACGGTCTGGGTCTCTCAAGTCAAGCGGCTGTTCTCGCGGTAACAGGTGCACATGTAGATTTTATGCAGGTATTAAACTGAAAGCCTGCTTGTTGCTTAGTGAACCGTAGTCCTTAACCAGAGACAACAGTGCTGTAATTATCACTCCGATTTAAAAAAAAATAGTTTTTGTGCTTGTAAATTAGTGAGAACGTGTTCCAACGTCTGATTACAGGGAATTTATATAGTAGATGCCATTTGAAATACCTATACCGAAAATACTCGTCTTGCTTGTGAAATTCTCACTGGCGAAGATCCAATCTAATTATCCATCCTTTAAAAAAAAGATGACAAAATAATTTAAAAAAATAAACGGAGACGTCAATTTACCAGATCTATTGTACAACCTGCTTCATCCATATAAACTGCGGGAGGTAAAAGGCGGCTGAATTCTCCACAGTACCAGGAGATATTAAAAGCTCCATTAGAGGAGCAGACCGTGTGCTTGAAGAAAAAAGCCTTATTTCTCAAGCACTTAGAGTAATGTCGTGGCTATACACGTGGTCCAAAAGGCAATTAAACGCTTTATGAATCATACATAACTTAAATAGGCATCATCTTAAAGATGTTTTAGATTTCTATTATTTCTGCATAGTTGACACAGGTGTAGTGATTTATGCAGCACTTTGTGCACATTGAGTCCGCTCGCAGTCTGAAGAGAGGTCTGACACCGAGCTGCACCACCTTGATCAAATCTCGACAAACACGAGACGATGAGGAAGTGCAGACCTGCCTCCTCATCAGCTGCTGCGAACTACATCTTGCAAATGCGCGGTGCAGGCGACGGTGTTATAAATAGCACTGATTAAAAACAAAACCCCACAAGAATGGACACTGCTGTCCAACTACTGCCCCTATCGAATAAGACACATGTCAACCTTCAGAACTGTCTGTGCCACCCAACTTTTCAAACTGGCTGAGCATGAAAGGAAAGCCACAGGTGAACACGTGAGTCTAGAGAGACCTCATACCTATCGTCGAAACCACCGTCCCAACGAAGTAGAAAGCGCCGGTGAAGTCCCACCGAGGTCTGACACTGTCCACCCGGATGCCGGCGACGTTGGCTTCCTCGTAATGCCGCAGAAACCTTTCCAGGTCCTCCCTGCTGAGGTTGTACCTCTGCGTGAAGTTGTCGAGCCGCTGCGCCCAGCGCTCCTTCGCCTGCTTCTCCTTGGGGTGCTCCAGCGCGGAGAAGACGGCGGCCCCGCACAGCAGGTACAGGACGATCAGGAGCGCCAGCAGGAGGAACCTCGCCGTGTCTTCGGGGACCGGCCCCACACTGCAGCAGCAGCAGCCCCGATTAGCCATTATGTTGCAACAGTCGGGCTCCGCATGATCTCCGATTTCTCTCGACGCTCACCACCGGCGTTTCATTTTTACAGTCGGACTTCCTGCTCGGCTCAGATCACTTTTTTGAAAGCCCTTCGCTGGTGGCAGATTCCCCTGCTGATTTGCTTCCCTCAGAGCTCATCCATTTTCAGCGCGTTTATTTGGAAGAAGCGCAACAGCTTGTTCGCCCTCAACACCAACTAATAATGATGTCAGTAATGTGACACCCGGGGGGCAACGTATCTGTGGGAAAGAAACACTACCGTGTGGTATTGATTGGGTACAAGAAAGCCAGTATCTCCAAACACATTAGCTGTAGGCTGTTTTCTTCCCTCCAGCTGTATAATTTCGCGCGGTCGATGTGAAAACCCTTAAAAGAAAAAAGCAGGTCAGCTCTAATCGTTTAAGGCAGCAGTAAACACCATTGTCATCCTTGCTGGTTGCGGGGTTCCAGTCTCCCGAAGAAGCGCAGGGGTACCCGTGAGAAAAGTGATCACTTCCATTACTGCAGCACCATAGTCCACCCGAAGAAGCGGCGAGAGAGGTTCCTTTGTTCGCTCCCAGCTCGAAATCGAGGATGACTGGATTAAAAACTTGGGCGATGTGTTGCCGCAGGTCCACCGGATCCAAACTTTCACCGGTGAAGCCCCGCGAATGTCCCTCTCATCCCTCTCCCCCCGGGGCGGCAGGAGCCCGCAGGCGTGCCGTGGCGTGGCCGCCCGGCGCACAGCTGTGCCCCAGCGAGCGCCCCGTGGGTCCAGTGTCCGCTGTCGGACCTCTGCCCTGCCCGCACGCCGGTCTCCAAATGCACCTCGGCTCTCGTGCGCTGCTACACAGCCCCGGCGCTCGCCAGGCTCAAACCCTCCATTTCACGCCAGCCATCGCGCGTTTCTCCAACCAAACCGGCTTTGTACCCTGTCCTGCTGTTAGACTGTGTTTGGTTTTGCCTCCCCACCCCTCACCCAGAGGAGCGCCTTTGTCTGACGGCTACAGGTGCTCCGGCGCTGCGCTCGCACTGGTGTCCCCACCGGCGCTGAGCGAGGTGCGAGGTGCAGTTTCAACATTTAAAGACACCCTGCCGCGTTTCCCTCGGATTGAAAAAACCCCTCGGCTGGAAAAGTTCATGGCTGTCACCTGATATTTAAAGACGGGTGTCGTAGTTTAAGTCTGAGATTTCCGAGAAGGATGCTGCTAGATTGAAATGACCCTATTAATATCGGACTCATGATGCCCTCACAGTTCATGATCCAGCCCTTTTCTTTCCTTTGGAGTTACAGGAGTTACAAGCACAAACCCAACGACCTAACCGATAATAAACCAACGTGTCAAACTAAAAAAAAAATAGTGTTGTTTCTTTTTAAAACAGTGGACTGGCGTTAGGTTTAAAAGAGAATACGAGACAGAAAAAAGTCGGGATTCTTCGACGTTCATAATGGAGAGCCTTGCATAACGTTATAGATTAAAAACATCACATGTTTAAATGTTGTCTTAAAACTTAAATGCACCCAACAGCAATTCGGAAGCTCCACCCGCCCCTCAGCTTGTTTATCTAAACTAAATAGTTTTCTACAAAACCGCAAAGGATCGCATTTACTGATAATTGTTTCTGACGTCACTGTGCGTTTCTGTCAGAACAAGGGGAGATCTGTCCTAATGCAGTAGAAATAAAAACAGATCGGACGAGAGGAAAAATTGGTTTCAGCACTGCTGGTTCAACAAGGTGTTTGCAAAAAAAAACAACATTTTCACGGAGAGACTGCGTTGATCAACGTTCGGCATTCATTTGAAAAAGCTCCTGTCTGGCTAAGTGAACTAGCCCAAACCATTTCGGCAATAACCACGCTTAATCTGAATGTGCTTGTCCTAAAACGAAGGCGGGGAGACAGCGATCTAATGACGGTGAAAAAGGGATGAAGATTTCCAGGAGGATTTTGATAAAGTTCCAACAGAATATGAATTCTCGAATTGCTGGCGGTAGTTGTTCAGGGAAACGTGCGTTTGGATTGAGAATTGGTTCTTAACTAGAAAACGGGGGGTACAGTTAAGGGGTGAATACCCAGACTGGGGGGGATGTACTGCTCTTCTGAATTGATATCAGGGGAGTGGATTCGGGCGCAGTAGCACAGTCTGCATTGCTGCTTCACAGTACTGGGGCCCTGGGTTCGGTTCCAGCCCTGGGGCACGATCTGTGTGGAGCTTGGATGTTTGTTTCCATGGGTTTCTTCCGGGGTACTCCGGTTTCCTTCCCTGGTCCAAACAGCTGCGGGCAGGAAAACTGGCTTCTGGGAAAGATGGCCCTGGTGTGAGTGTGTGTTTGTGTCTGTGTGTCCTGTGGTGGACTGGTGTCCCATCCAGGGTGTATCCTGCCTTGGGCTCACTGCTTGCTGGGATGGGCTCTGGGTCCCCCACGCCCCTGAATTGGAAGAAACGATTAGAAACTGATTCCAGCGGAGAATGAAGCCAGCTGAGTGCAGATGATACCCAATTAGGAGGATTAGCAAGCATTGTAGAAGCAGCAAACACACAACTGATTTAGATAAGATTAAGAACTAGCCAAACACCCAGCATTAAGTTTAGACAATTGCAGGCAGGTAGTAAAAACATGAATTATAAAAACGAAATTAGATAGAAAAAGGTTATTTATGAAAAAGACGTTGATATTGATGCATTATTAACATCTTCTATCTAGACAAGGTGAGAAAACAATTAAAAGGCAAACAAAATGCCAGGATATACAGTTAAAATTAAATCAAGAGGTGTTATGTTAAAACTGTACTGCATATCACACTTGAAAGGCCTCATTTACTGTACAGTACAGTGTACAATATAGGCCAACAGGTTATAGAAAATATATTGCTACTCAGGATTCAGGACGACCTAAGGGAATGCCCTATACTGACAGGCTGAAGGCACTGAACCTTTTTATTCTTGAACACAGAAGAGTATGAGCGGACCCGACACAAATATACAAAATCTTTAAAGGCAGGCAATGCAGAAACACGTTTCAAAATGAATGGAGGATCATGGCCCAGAGAGCAGGAGTGGAAACTACATGGAAGTGCATTAGGAACTGGGAACCGGGGGCATGTCTTTACAATAAGGGGTTGCGGGAGGCTGGAACAAACTGCCCAGCCGTGCTGGTGAAACTGGTGCCCTGGGACTAGCTGGACTAATTGACCTTCTTACCTTTCTTGTGTTCTAGAAATGTTACATACAGTATACAATACGACCACATATGCCAACACAAGTGACTTGGAGACTTACAGTAGCAAAGCGTGCTTTAAAACTGTATTTTATCCTTTGTTACTCCATTGCCAGCTAGCTACAATAAACCATATTCCATTTTTTTTCCTTTTCTTGACTGACAGGCTGTGACGGGAGAGATAGTAATGCGATTAGGACGTGTTGCACCGAAGAGTCATCACTGCAGAGCAGAAGGCCAAGCCCAGGAATTAAGCGCTGAAACCAGCTAGAAAACGCCGGGCGTATAAACCCTTTGACTGACAGTCAGAGAGCTGCTCCTGCTGGTGTCAGGGCGTGGGGCTGTCAGAGCCCGTCCCAGACAGCCAGACCCTCAAGGGGAGCTGGGAGCAGGTGGCCGTCATGCCCTGGACGGGACACCAGCCCCAGGCAGTGCGGGATGGCATGAGCCAGCAGTATAAGCATCACCTCGGAGCTGCACATAGGTGCCTCATGGCTTATCGATGGATCAACAACTAGATCCCAGCGTTTTCGTCTTGCTTCAGCACTGAGCACAACGTGGAATCTGCATTAACACGCCTGGCAAAAACGAGGATCAATGCTGACCTTTTCAGAAAAAGTAGCAACGGTTTGAACACAAGAGGCCAAAGATGAATAAAAAAAGCATCCTGATGGGCTGATCAGCGCTCGCAGGGGTGCAGGTTGGGCCCCCCCAAAAAAAAACCATAGGAAACAGATACATTTGTGGTTGTGATTTTTACCAAAAAAAGGACAAATAGCCAGGAGTAAGAATAACCTACTGATTTGTTCGTTGTCGGTGTTCTTAGTTATTCGTCCTGGAGCATGAGTGATGCCCAGCTCTCCAGCAGCAGTGTGACAGACCGTAGACATCCCCTGCAGCCGGGACACCGCCCTCAGGAGAGCCGTGCAGGTGGTGGTGACCGAGCTGATAACCTGGCCACTTCTTGGTTTAGCACAGATGTGCTTTAATGGGTTTTACACTGGAAAATCTCTGCTTGTCTTAGACTATAAAAAGAGGCAGTGTTCACTGTGTAAAGATCCAACTGTCACTGCACATGATTATTTATTTAAAAAGTATATATTCCTATACCAGTCGACCTCAATACTCCAAGAATATTCAAGTATAAACACCTGCAATCACTTACATGTCTGCTAAGAAACATGGCATTGTAACCTCGTTAATGTAACATTAACGTTAATTGGAGCAACAAAAGTACTTTTTTCTGCATGTCACAAAACATATATGCCACGGTAACTGTGCTTCAGTAGATTGAAAGTAATTTTCTTTATTAAACTTGTGTGAATGGAAGATGAAACACATGATCCCTAATGACTTTTCAAGACCTTTCTGGTGTAATTTACTTTTCTTTTCACTTTAGGAAACAAATGCCTTCATCCACTGTGCTATCTTTCTCCTTGTGTCAGTTCAAAACTCATTTTCAATCTGGATTTTGTTTCATTTACAACCACAGAAGTCACTCTTTCAAGGTCAGAACATCCCGACCGTTTTGTAACTGTTCCTGTTCTTTGACTATTTGCCAAGGGGTTTTTAAATCATCCCTGACAGAGGCAGGAGCTCTTGGGAGAGAGGCTCAAACCCATTTGCAGGCTGTGCAGGACTCCTCTGGACCTGCTGGTACCAGGAGAGGGTGGCTCAGTATATCCAAAAAGGCTGACTCTACAATTAGAAGTGTCAGAGGTTTACTAGCAATGAGATTATACTGAAGAAAAAAAGGTCATGCTACAGTACATATCCATTTGTCATTCAACAAACTGAACTGAGACAGGGAAAACAAAGTGAAACAAATAACAATACTTTGTAAAGAGCATACCTTTATTTACACACAAAGATGCCAATAATAACTAGCATTTGTTAATTTTAATCTAAAACATTAATACTAGACTGTGCTATTTTTTAAAGACACTAACAATTATATAAAGATTAATTAATTAGACATAACATAACAGTAAGAACGACAATGGTAAAGTAACTTTTTTGGAAATATCTAATAGATACACAGTGGTTGGAAAGTCTTTATAAAAGAACCTACAATGCCGAGCTGGCATGATATGACATCAAATGTCAGCACCAATCAGATAATACGTTTAGAAAAACTCGAAAAAGACTAGTTTACCAGGCTGTTTTTCTGATGAAAACAGGGATAATCTCTGTATATTTCATGATCAGTTAACAACAATGCATTCCTGTGTAGTTTGGAGTTTTCCCTTTTCATCCAATAACTGCAGAACAAGGTTTACAGAGCTACACAAAACAATCATTATGAGTTAGAATAGCACCATGTTTGCAATACACAACAAGCTAAATAAGAGAATCTACACATATTACCCTCCTATTTAAAATAAGCTTCAGCTGCAGGACTAACTTCAAAGTCAATGTCAGCAGTTCCCAGTACTCTTAATCCTGGAAGAGGAAGAGGTTGCAGGGCACAGCTCAGAAAGGCCGAGATTCCTCTTCTTCCAAATCGTCACACCTCCCTCAATGTCCTTTCTCTGAACCTTGGCACTGGCGGGGTTCGAACAGGTTTTCCTTACGCTTACGATGGCACCCAGATGTTTCCATTTATGTCAGTTTCTTGGGTATATGGGATATTCCAAATCCAAGGGCGATCTGAACCACAACCAGAAACACAATTAGGTCATGAAAAGCCATCGAAGGATTCTGCACCACAAGAGTACGGTCAAGCAAAGAGAACACCTAAATTACACTCAAAAATGGTCTTTTTAAACAATATTTACAAAAATATTGTTATATGATCATATTTGTTAAAACAAAAAATTACAGCATTCAAAATGCATGTAACTACAGTAAAATACATATTCCAGCTTTTTTCAATTGCATGATAATACACACCTTCAAAAATATCAGGATTAACCACCTTAGCTCTTCACACACTTACTGACTTCTTCCTTCACGCCTGACTGCCTTCTAAATATCTGTACTAAATATCTGTACTAAAGAAGAGACTACTTAGAAGGGCAGCACAATGCCATGTTGCATCGGATCATCAGGTAAACCCAAAACATCTGAGGCTCTCTCCCCGCTGGAGTCTGTGCTCCGGGAGCGAGGGGCTCTCTCCCTTTTGGAGTCTGTGCTCCGGGAGCGAGGGGCTCTCTCCCGAGGGAGTCTGTGCTCCGGGAGCGAGGGGCTCTCTCCCTGTGGGAGTCTGTGCTCCGGGAGCGAGGGGCTCTCTCCCTGTGGGAGTCTGTGCTCCGGGAGTGCCGTGCTCAGTGTTGCATGCACTGCCAAGTAAATGAAGGGAACAGAACCCCAGTGACCATGGAAACTGGCTACGCAAAACTGGGTTAAACAGAAAAGCAATAAACAGATTTTAGTCAACTGATTTCTTTTTTTTAAAACGGTTCATTAACAATCCAATCAAATCACACTTTAAAAATAACCTTTCAACAAAACAACTAAAAAAACCTGTTTTTAAGAGGAACATCTGCAGCAGTGGACTACCCCTTAAATAGCTGATGTTAAAAACCTGAAGCAAAATCAAAATCATCGACACAACCACATCCTGACACATGACACCCAATTATTTTTTCTCTATTTTAGAGTGGAAATTAATTTGATGTTCACAAGCACCTTACAGAGAGAAAGAAAATCTAATGTTACTGTGTAGCTTTTCTTCCAAATTTATATCTTTGCTTTGAGTGAAATAAAAACTTGCCTCCCTCCATCAGTCTCAAGTTGATATGATTTTCCACACTAATAAAATGCAAATGGTAAGATAGAGCAGGACCCCAATTAATGAAATGCACTTTTAACTCAAAACATAATAAAACTCTCAATATAATCAATATAGATTACAAACGTTCCTGCCCCATTACCCCTTTGTCTCAGAAAACATGAAGGCAAGAATATTTCCATTATTGTTTTGAAATTCAAGTTAACCCTAAAATCAATAATATGAAAAAAATACATTACTCTTTGCTCAAATGCACTTTGGACATTTACTTTGCAGAGACCAACAAATCAATATTTTGTACTATATTAAATTCTGTGGCTATTTTTATTCTTGTAACAATATTTAATTCCCATGGTTTAATCCAATTTATATTTGCAATTTAAATGTTCTGGGCATCCTACTTTACTAATTAAAACAGTTTTCTTCAAATCCTAGCTTGTCGTATTCTGTGTTTCTGAGAAATCTAAGCTCTAACTTTACTGTAACACATAATAATAGCTTATTAAAAGCTATTACTATATTTTCAATATCTACTTTGCTTTATTAATTCTTCCTGACACTGAAAATGAGATAATTCATTTAAATGCATAAAACATCAACTAAGGACCATGTATTCACTTTGTTAGATAAGTCAGGCACTTTATACAGGATACATGACACTCTGTTCATTCTCAGTCAATAGGGAGCTCCAAACTGCAAAAGCTAAGGTGTGTTATCAGCTAATCAAGGTCAGAAATGAGCTCTCTTTACTTTCAGAACTTCCTTCAGTGCAGCACGGTAATTAAGTGACTTGCACTTGGATACTTGTCATGTGCAGTATGTGTTCAGTAATGTGTGTGACATGACCCTGTAGGCCTTTAATTGGATATTTGTTGCAAGATGTCAAGACACCCCAGGAGACAATTTAAATAACCACTTTGGAGTCTATTTAGCAGGTCCCCTGATGTGCAAAAAATTGAGTTTAAGCCATTCTGGCAGCCTGCAGCTGTCAGTCTTCACCAGTCTTCATCAGTACAGCAGCCTGCTGCTCGAGAGACAGCACACGGGGAGGCGCGTGCGGCCTCGTCCTTCGCCAGGGCTCCAGCTGCCCGCTAGCTAAGCTTCATGCCCTCGCTCACCCCAGCCACACTTCCTTTGCAGAACAAAAACATTCCACACAACTCCATTTCAAGCGGTGTTCTCCAACCACCTCGAAACTGAATGACGTTCAGTTAAAGACAAGAGCCCACTGCCAACCACCTTAACGTTCAAAAGTTGAAACGTTGAAAAGTTCAAGCACGCAAGTTCCAGTAACCCCACATTTCACTGCCAGGAGCTACCGCTCACTGCCATCACTTGGAAACCATCTATCTGATGCTGCAGTGCAACTGGACCTGAGGCTCTCCCATTTCACTTAATGATTTTAAAGCAAAAAACACATGAACTGTAGCTTTTACTCTCCTTGTTCTAAACATAATTTTCCCTTAAAAAAGTACAAAACGTCTCTACAAATATGATTCCACAAATGTCAGCAAGATCAGTGTAACTACTGTGGCAGTGCAGTACAGTCAACCACAATGCTCCCTGCTTGCTTCTTTTCCAACGGCTAATCACCAATCTCCTTTTCTCTCCTGTTGGTCTACTTTGACATCCTTACGCCACCACTATCTCACACTAGGAAACCTTGTGGATCAGCAAAGAAATGAGGGAAAATATCGCTAAAGGAGCCTTAGACAACACAAGCAATGAAGTCAGATGATGAAAGGGGACATTCACTTCCCCATGTTTACCAACAATTTTATCATTAGCCAATTAAAAAGGATGCATCTCTATCTGCAGCTCAGTCGAGGAGGTGGTATTTCAGCAGACCTAGGCAGGAAACGAAATGAAAAACACGGTGTGACAGAGGAACAGCACAGTGAGTGAACGCAGGTGCTGGGGATGTGTAGGCAGACCGTGAGGCACAGTCCTATTCCTATTTCTGGCACGGTGACTCAGCAGACATAGATGTGAACATGTCAAGTGGAATACAGAATGGGTGTATGAACATGTGCACACGCTGACTTCATTTGTTCAAACACGGAAACTTAAAACTGTGTAAAATGTTTAAGAGGACATGGAGCTCCCAGCCAGACCACTTCAATATGGGGGGGGCACACAGCTACCAATGGCCAGTGTCAAATCCCACCAGGTCTCCGGTTTTGTTTTTTCTTCAAAGCCGATAGTGAAAATCCTGAGAAAAATGCGGAATTTAAAATGAAAAAACATCAGCAAAATAAAATGCTCCATTTTATTACATTAATAATTTGCTTTGAGCTTCCTTATCCAGCTGCAAGGCTGGGTAGCTGGATAAAAGTCAGCGCTGCTCATCGCCTGAAAGCTGCATTACCTCCATTACACTTCCATCAGGCACAGAATACACTCATTTTCCACTGTCTGCAGACAGGATAATGCAAGATGTGAATTATGCACTGGATACTGCTAACATCAGAGAGAACAAGATATTCAGAGGTTTTTTTACAATCACCATCCACAAATCTAATCTTGGGGAATATCATGAGGGACGATGCATGGAGTAAAGAAAACAAGAGAAAGGGACTACAGTATATCAGTGAGCTGAAGCAGTGCGAGTCCTAGTTTGCAAGCTCGAAAGTTAAGATACTCCTTGCACTGTGACTCAACAGTAGCAGACCTCTGGTTGCTAACGCGGGAGAGACGCTGTAATGACACATAGCACAGACATGTATAAATCAAAGTGCAGCTTTAAAATGATTCACGTGTACTCTTCGATCTAAGGTGTCAAAACAACACTTGTTGAGCTCCTGCTAAGTTCTCCTTCATTTCAGGAGTAATGTTTCAAAAGGCATTTGCAGATACTATCGCACTGTTCAGCAAACAATGAAACAGTTGCCTTCCTGAAGACCCTGTGTTACAGAATAACCATATAATAACCATGGATTCAAAGGGAAATGAGAAATTAGGGGGAAGATGTCTAGAAAACAAAATCATGATAGAAATCCCTAAGTGTGATTTTATCTAAGCAGGACCTATGGTTCTATACTACAAAAAACTCGAAAACAAGCGATAAAGTAGGTGGTGGGGTTTACATTTCAATAACTTTTAAAGTTTTAGTTCAGAACAGGTTTATCCTAAAGAAGTATGTACGATCTGTAATTCTTTGACATCGACCTGCTGCGCTGCGCGGAGGCAGCCACACAACTGCTTATTGTTACTCATTCGATCGCAATCTAACCCACTCGCTTCGTAAAGAGGGGAGGCAACTCATCAGGTGACCACTCCGGGCCTGTCCTGTGGTTGAGGGGTGTCCCCTGGGGAGCAGGGCGATGGTTGCGGGGTGTACTGTGGTTGAGGGGTGTCCCGTGGGGGAAAGGGTGATGGTTGAAGGGTGTACTGTGATTGAGGGGTGTCCCATGGGGGTCAGGGTGACAGCTGAGGGGTGTCCTGTGGTTTAGGTGTGTCCCTGGGTTGAGGGGTGTCCCATGGGGGTCAGGGCGACGGTTGAGGGGTGTCCCGTGGGGGTCACTGTGACTGTTGAGCAAGTTGAGGGGTATCCTCTGGGCAGCAGGGTGACAGGGGAAGGGTGTGAGGGTTACCTTTGCTGGAATAGTGCTCAGGTGGCAGATCGAAGGGAACAGTGAAGGAGGCAGAGGGGCTCTTGCTGCTGGGGAACGGGCTCCTCTCGATGGGGAAGCAGCTCATGTTCTGTGGAGCACAAGGGTGAGAACAAGCAGTCAGTCCTGGGACTCAGTCAGTCCAACACTCCTCAGCAATCATCACTCAAACCCATATGGACAACTGTGAGGGTATGAACTTGCAACAGCATAAATAACATTACATATGTCAGAAAGTCCTTGCTAAATACTAGAACCTATACTTCATTCTTTTAAAAAATGAAAGGCATTTAGTTCAGAAAAGAACACAAAGGAAGCAGGGCACAATGAATTAGCAAGAAACCAGATCATTTGATATGACAAATTCAGTTTAAGGCTACTTTATGCTAACGTATAGTGCTGACATACATAGACCCCTGACATACTACAACAAGACCCCTGTAGTAATGCACTTTTTGGTGTGCTAAACAGAAAGGAAAACCTTTAATGTGACACATTTCCCATCTAGACCAGAATTTCCAAGCCACAAACCCAGCATGGTGACCATGGATACCTTTATAGAAGCCATGGCCCTGCAAATGAGATGTATTACTGAGGTCCTGACTTTTTGATCGTAAAAAGTTCCAATCACTGTTTGTATGAACAGGGCTGTTAACCCTGGCGTCCTGGCTAAATTCCCAAATCTTTCATGTGAAAAGTCAGGACATCCCCTGATCAGCCATGCAATGGGATTGCAGTGCAGAACTGTGTGTTGCTGTGTGTCACCCTGTTGTAGATGAACGGGTCCCCTTCCTGTATGTAGAGTCCTTTGCAATTCCTTGCATGAGAAGTGCTATAGAAAAGCAAGGAACACGTGACTGTCAAGTATGAGCAGAAAAGCGGTAACGACAGACATGTTATTCTGCCCTGAAATGCTGACTTGCAGATAGTTAAGAGGTGTAGTAAGAGTTTCCCTCTTCTTGATTTCTTTTGTTTCACAAAGTCATTAATGTTTGCGAAAAAAGTCATAGAGAAACATAAGAATGGAAGGTAACAGAAAGTATAAAGGAGGCCAGGGATCTGTTCTGAATCAGAAAGGAAAGTGCAGTGCAGAACAGCCTGCAGCACTGTTACACAGACAAGTTTCAAATGGACTGCTACACAAAGAGAATACGAACTAGCTACAGCAGCTTTTATTACTGCAAGTGTCAGTTCTGAACATCAAATCCCAGATAGGTCTGATCTGCCCTGGTGAGAAAGCACACGCCTTTTACTTAATCTGTTCCTCACATGAGCGTAGAACAGTTGACCGCAAAACTTCAAAAATATATATTTTAGCTGTCACTTCATTTGCATGCAAAGTGTAACTGATTGCAAAGGAAGGGTCCTAATGCCAATCAATAATGCTAAAAACCGCATGCACTGGCAGGGGAGCTCTCGAGAGGACGTCAGATAAAGAGTTTTTTGAAAATCAGAGGGAAGTCCTGCTGTTCACTTACAGCTCCTGCAGCCTCAAGTCATCTGCACTGCCCAGGGTTAGCAGCCAAGGGGAATGAATATAGACTCACTCAAGCCTGATATACACAGGACTTCTCAACTGTTTGCATTCTGACATAGGCGGCCATGACAAAGTCATCACTGAACGATCACAATGAATATGCACAACACAATTACAGCTTATACAGTAGCTTACTTCAGTTTTCACAGCCTGTATATTAATTGGTATAAAATGCCAAGAGCAATTCCAATTATTTAAAAACAACAACATTAATCTTATGTAGGGACTTTGGGACCTCTGAAGGAACTGCACAATAAATCAATTAAAGAAAAGATCATATAGATGTACACAAATCAAAATGGCAAAATCAACACTCTTTTAGGGTTTTAAAGCATTGGCGTGTTTTCTTTAGCTCTGTGAGGGATCAGAGAAAAGAAAGGTTAGGATACTTATTTAAATTAGAACTACAAATTACTCAGGTCACAGTGACATTTTACCTTCATCATTTTTTTGGAATTTTGCCTAAGAGGTAGAAAAAGAAACAATTTGTGATTTTCTATTTTTGAACCAATTAAAGAAACAATACAAGTCCAGAGGCAGAAAATGTCAGCAGTGGTTAAGCAAATATCCCTTTTGAGTACGTCTGGCAAAACGAACTCGTTTGCGCCCGTTCTGCATTGATGACAAGGACTACACGATATCACGATATCACACATGCACTCGAACCACAGCACAATATTTTTCAAAAGGACACAATGTTCTTTCAGCTCAACAAAACCATGACAGACGGAACACAAGAGTAAACTACTTTCGAAATCAAGTCCACCAGGCTATTTGCACACCACTGCTTCTGGAGCACCACTGCACACTTGGGCGGCGGCAGAAGACTCAGGCCGGATAAAAGGAAACCACTTGAAACCGCTGAGAGTGTTGCCTCCATCAGCCACAATGAATACTAATGCCTTCTTCTTCTCCTCCCAGCAGAGCAGCACACGGAGCGGAC